AATCCATCAGCTTCTGCCCTCCAGTTGCATTGTTGCCCTACATACATGAAACAATCCTCGAAAGCACGTAAAAAATGCAAGTAGAAAAATAGGAATCACCTTTGGTGGGAAGGTAACAGCGTTCTGTGCGCCTTTGGCATTTAATCATGCCGGCCACATGATCACAGAGATGTCTTCGGACAATACTGGCTCTTAGGCTTTGAAACAAAGATGAGCACCACACTGTAGAATCAGGAACTAGCACATATGTGCGAGGGGAACCTTTACCTTTTATACTGGGCTACACATAAAAAAATAATTTTCCAGACAGACATTCTAGCATATTTCTATAATATTCACTCGCATGCTCATGTTCACAGGAACGCTGTGTGAGTTCTAATTCCATTTTGGGCATGAAGCCAGCTGGGTGACATTGGACCAGTCCTTCTCTCTCAACCCTAGGAGGAAGGAGTCAAGAGCAAACCACTGAAAATGTTGCCAAGGAAACCTCTATGACTTTTCCAGACAGTCACCAAGAATCAATACTCAAAGGCACCCCAAAATTTTAAAAGTAAAATGTTCCATTGTGTGAAAGTAAATATTATAGCCTCCTAATTGCTACAGAGCAGATCGATTCATTTTTAAGAAGATAGTTACACGGGCTGATTTCCTTAAAGAGACTATCTAGAAAGTTAAGAAAGAAAGAAAAATAGAAGCTAGGAGCTGTGTTTGAATCTTTAAAAATGATACATCCCCAAATTATAATTACTGAGTCAAAATAGCTTTGTTAGAATGGATCATGGCATGGGTCTAGGTTAACTGAGGAACTATCTCATCCCAATGGGATTGGCCTACCGCACTCATTCTGGCAGAAGCAGAAGTGAGTTCCTACTGGTTCGGACCAGTTTGTCCGAGTAGGTAATAACAGCCTGACACATCCCTGAACTGGTTTTATCAGTGGCGCCATAGGCACTGCCATCTTGTTTTTACTACTGCACATGCCCGTATAGCTCATAGCGAGCGCCCGATGCACGTCCCTGAGTGAATCGGTAGTAACAGAAGCCAGAAGCCACCCTTGGGCAGAAGATGCCTACCGTGAACTCCATCAGCCAAAGAATTCCAGTTGGTGGAGTCCATGAGAAGAGCCTTTTCTGCCATGGCCCCCCACCCTTTGGAACATCTTGCAACCAAAGTGAGATCTGCCCTCACCATTCTGGGCAGCCTTAAACCCTGGATTTGCCAGTTGGTATGAGGCCCTGATGGAGAAGCTCTAGGCCGGAGGCTGGAGCTTTAGGTGAGTTGGTGCAATGTCAGAGAAGGTGCCACCATTGCTGTACTCCAAACCAGCAGTCTCTTGGTCTGTATTTAACATTTGGTGATTTTAATGTGTTTTTATACTTATAATTGTCTTTATATCTCTACGTTTCATGATCTTGTAAGCCATTCAGTCACTTCCAACTGAGAGATGGGTGGCATATGATTTTAATTAATAAATTAACCATGGGATAAAACAAATGCAGTTCCGTCTACAGTTCTATGATTCCCAAATTATTTTACTGATTATTGTTTATGTTCCCTTCATCCAAATCAGTAATCCATCAACCTCTTTTAAATGAACTGGTTGGTGCAGCAGATTGGTGTCAGAATAGCTGGCATATTAGAGACGATCTTGTCTAGTCTAATCACCAAAAATGATGGTTTGCTATACACTTAGACTTTTACTTACAGCCATTCAATTACTGACTCTTCAAAGTTATGTCACTGGAAAAAAGTGACTTATGACCAGTTTTCACACTTATCATTGTTGCAGCATTTCCATGGTCCCATAATCAAAATTTCGGTGCTTGTTGCTTTTATTTTGGGTGTACTGTCCCAGGGTCATGTGATCACCATTTGTTACCTCCCCTTCCCCCCCCCCAGCCGGCTTCTGACAACCAAAGTAAATGGGGGAGGCCAGATTCACTTAATGACTGCATGATTCACTTAATAACTACAGTAATTTGCTTTAATATCTGTGGCAAAAAGGTCATAACATGGGGCAAAACTCGCTTTACAACTGCCTTTCTTAGCAATGGTAATTTTGGGCTCAATTGTTTACAATATACTTTTTTTATTTTCCATTTTCATAACATATAATCACATGTATACTATTACATAGCCAATATCCTGTTGTATTAAGTAGTAATTACATCAGTTCCTCTTGCCATCAACGCCCAGAAAGATTAAAACCCATTATTAGCTCTTCTGCTCTCCATACACCTCTTTCTTCTGCCTCTCTCCTACCTCCTTTCTTCCCTCCATCATCCTTTTCTACTCTACTTCCCCTCCCTTTCTCCTTCTCCTCTCTCTTCATTCCACTCCTCCTTATCCTCCTCATCTTCCCCCCTTACCCTCTCTCCTATCCCTCTCTTCCTATCTTTCTTCTCTCCTTTCCCACTCTTCCTCTCATTCATTTGGTGTATTTCAGCTTCTGAGCAAACTCCATTCTATGTTGATGGTATTTATGCTTCCATATCAATATACTTAACATATCTTAGTTTTAAAGAAAAAATAAGAGAAGACAGTATACATGTGCAATCATATTACTTTAAAATCTAACACTCCTCGTCAAACCTAATATAGATCCCTCCCTCCCCCCCTCCCCCCCAACCTCCCCCCAGCCTTCCCTCCCCCAACTTCCCAGAACCCATACACGCCGTATGTCAAGGACTACAAGTATTTCATTGTCACTCTGCTTCTCAAGGGGAATTACTCACTTTAGTGAGTCCCAAATTAAAGCCTTGGGAATAGTGAGTGAAGATTTTTATTTTTTTAATTCTGGAGGTGTGAGATTTTCAGCTGCCTGCCTGATGCAATAATTAATCAGCCATTCTTTCAAAACAAAAGAATTACTTACCATGGCTTGTTCAACATAACAGAAGTTACTGGACAGTGGAAAGTATGTAGGAATACCGCTAAAAATGAAGCGGGAGGAGAAAGCCTGAAAATCATGAATGAAAGTAATATATACTATCTAGCAGGTAATAATGGCTTTGGGGTTGACATTGGGTTGTTGTGAAGAATATTTGAATTTCTAAAAATCATCAGACATCACTTTAGCCCCAATTTCTTCAGGGCAAAGTTCATAATACAAAGGTAGATGATTGAATGCATAGGTAAGAAAGCAAGTATGGGTGTGAGACACAATCTTGATGCTTAGAATAATAACTGGAGTCCTTGGGGGGTGGGGGGTGGGAATCAAATGCATTTCCAGACTTACATTTTTTCACCCAGAGACTGCAACTGTAATAATGAAAGGACATCTGTTCAGGTCCCCAATTTTCTCTAAAGAAATGGGTAGAATTTCAAGCCAGGATATTATTCCTAATACTGAAGAACTTGCTTTTAAAAAAACAAAACAAAACTGTTTGATAATGGAAGATAGCTCACCAAAGGATTCAAGGATTTTCTGACAACAGGTATCTGTGTCTGTATGTGTGCTTGTGTGTGTGTGTGTGTGTGTCCCAAAGGTGCTTTTTCAGGAGGCAACTGGACTTTCTTGTTTTTTTCTTTTGAAGAAGTTTCGCTCCTCATCCAAGAAGCTTCTTCCGCTCTGAGTGGATGGTGAGGAATGGAAGGATTTATACTCCGTGCAGACACCTGGTCATTTGCATCATTCTAGAAGGTCCTTGAGGCACTTGGAGGTTTATCTGTGTTCTTAGGGTCACCTGAGTGGTGCTCCTGGTTCCTGTGGACTGCAATTTTTTCCTCTGGAAATCCATTCCTACTCCCATACTATTCAAAGGGTGTTCCTCCCAAATTGTATAGCTAAAAGTCTGTAGAGGTTCTCAGTCATGACCTAAATGACTGAGAATTTCTACAGACATCTGTATAAGTGATTCTTATCCAACTATTACCAGCTTTGGTTCAGTTTTCATCTCAACCTCCCATGATTTTCTAGCTTTAATTCCAATATTTTCTGTTATGTTTTCAGGAGAACTCATAATGTAAATAATGAACAGAACTTTGTGGACCGAATTCATTCTTCTTGGACTTCTGAATCACACAGTGATACATACAGTTTTCTTTGGGGCGATCCTATTGACTTTTTTTGTTGCCTTATTGGGAAATTGTCTTTTCTTTTTTGTAATTGTCGTAGGTTCGTATTCCAGAGTCCCTATGTACTTTTTCCTCAGCCAGCTCTCCTTTATAGACATCTGCCAGACTTCTAGCATTGTCCCCAAAATGTCCATGGATTTTTGGAAAAAAGACAATACAATTTCATTGGCTGGATGTGGGATTCAGATTTTTTCCACCCTCATGATAGCAATAGCAGTTAGACTTACATACCGCTTCATAGGGCTTTCAGCCCTCTCTAAGCGGTTTACAGAGTCAGCATATCGCCCCCACAGTCTGGGTCCTCATTTCACCCACCTCGGAAGGATGGAAGGCTGAGTCAACCCTGAGTTTGTCAAAAAGAGATCATACCAAATCTTATTTCATTCTTTGAGAAGGGTTACTCAGAAGAGACCAGCGAAATGCT